GGGTTTCAGGATTTAGGTAATTCTTTTTACAATCGATAAATTCAAACTATTGGAATATTGATTATTCTTGAAACTATAATACGACAAGGCAACTTTTGAGTTAAGTCTTGGAAGCGAGGAACCAAACTGAATATTTGGTTAAAAGGCTTGCTTGGTTAGAGAACGACTGATCTCAGTCGAAAGTTTGAAACAAGAATAAATAATGCGTAAGTGACGCACGAAATGAAAACTTTAAAGATAAAGAGGTTTTCAAAATGATCAATCATTTTTACACTGAAATAAATTGAGTCTTCGACTCAACTTTAAAAGATTTCTAACAGTATAATGAATTCTTTATTTATTATTCCGGCAGATTTTATCACTTAAACATTATTTTTAGTGGATAATCATATTTGAGTAGACGTTCTGTCTATTCATTAAACAGTATATTTTATAGATAAATTTATATTAAGTTCCCCTCAAGCAACGTAGTAAAGCCACTAAGACACAAGGGGTTACTGGGTGCAGAAGAATTGGAAAACAGAAAACATTATCAAGGAGCGAAAACAACAGAAGAGTAATCAGAAGGACAGTAGATAGCGATTGATACTGCATTTAAATTTTTGAAGATTAAATCTGTCTGGAAAGTATGGAGTGGCAAGAGTGTTCCACAAGCGAGAAGTGCGAGTAAAGAAACGGGTTGCATAGAAGTTACAGTTATATCTGGCCAAGTAAAGTGTAAATTGCAGAGACCTCGTCTCCAGTCTAGTACCGCCCTTGCATTCATAAAATCTAAGTAGCATAGCGAAGAGCTGAACAACTGCCATGAAAGTATTTATAGAAAAGGCAGAGGGAGGTAAATTTAATGCGCTGGGAAAGCGATTGAAGCTGAGAGGCCAGGTCAGGACCCATAATATTGCTGATTCTCCTTTAGATTTTATCAAGGATATCTAGATACAAACCAGGAGCTCAAGATCATATATAACAGCATTATTCTAAGCATGGAAGAATGGTAGACTTATAAATAGGTAAGACAGATTTAGAGGAAAATGTCTAACACAGTGAACCAACATTTATAGCAGCTGACCTAACAATGGATTCAGTTTTTCCAATTCCTGTCTGCCGAGAATGTTAGTTGGTATTAGACTTACGGTTACATCTAGCAACTGATGAGAAAATATATTATAATATATATATATATATATATATATATATATATATATATATATATTTGTCATCCACAGACAGACTGTTTCGCTGTATCACAGCTCATCAGTGTGGCTAGACATCCGGTTGCCTCTAGCTAGTATCGAAACCCGATTGAATTGGCGTCAGTCGGTGATTCTACCACTAAGTCGTTGGCGCACGGCAGGGATGAAGGTGAATTTTAAGTGTATTTATTTTAGATAAACACTAATATATATATATATATATATATATATGCATATATATATATATATATATATATATATATATATATATATATAAAAGTGAACATTGAAGTCAACACTCAGAGGTGACAGACTTTTCATGCTTTATCGCAGTGGTCAGATCACGTGTGTTGGGTTTTTTCTCGACTATTTATATATACGAGTCAGACTGACCCGTATACATAAATAGTTGAGAAAAATAAATAATTTTAAATAAATGTTTACTTTTAATTTCTTTTCTGATATTTGACACTGTAAAAAAGAGATCCATATACACTTGATAACAAGGTACTTCGCTTATAAAATTGAACATTAACCCAAAAGATAAGAGTAAAAAAAAAATACATGCTGAGAAATAGTCTTACGGCAAAAATCTTATACGGCGAAGTTTCCTACAGCGAAAATTCCTGGGGCGACTTTTCCTACGGCAAAAATCTTATACGGCGAAGTTTCCTACAGCGAAAATTCCTGGGGCGACTTTTCCTACGGCAAAAAAAAATATACGAATAGTTTCCTACAGCGAAAAATTTTTTTTTTTTTTACGGGAAAAATCTTATACGGCGAAAAAGCGAAAATTCCTGGGGCGACTTTTCCTACGGCAAAATCTTATACGGCGAAGTTTCCTAAAGCGAAAATTCCTGGGGCGACTTTTCCTAATAATTCAAAAAATCTTATACTAATTTTCCATCCTACATTCAAAAATTCCTGAACGCGACTTTTAATACTTACGGCAAAATCTTATACGGCGAAGTTTCCTACAGCGAAAATTCCTGGGGCGACTTTTCCTACGGCAAAAATCTTATATATATAAGTTTCCTACATATTCAAATTCCTGGGGCGACTTTTCCTACGGCAAAAATGTTTAACGAGTATGTTACGGATACGGTATTCAGCACATAGTCGAATTGATTTACAATCGTTCCGCCCACTCGTCAGGACTTGTTCAGCGATCGATTTTCTCATTTTGGTGATTTTCATATTAAATTTAAAATAAATTTAGGCATTAGTTATTAGAGCTGGTTAATTTTTTCTTTTGTGTCTGTGAGTGTGTCCGTTTGCATATGTTTCTTTGTCTCTCTGTCTCTCTGTCTGTCTGTCTGTCTGTCTGTCTGTCTGTCTCTCTCTCTCTCTCTCTATATATATATATATATATATATATATTTATATATATATATATTTATATAAAAATATATATATATGTATTTATATAAATATATATATATATATATATATATATATATATATATATATATTAATAAATATACATATTATCCAGCGCGACCATTAAGGTCTCGCTCCCTCTCCCGGAAACTTTGATATGGCCACCACCTTTCTATTACATGTCGATTTCAAGTTTCCCGACATCCTTTTCCGCAAAAGGGCTGTGGTGAAATAATTTATTACATGGAATCTTAAAGTGGCCTGTTTTTATTTAAATTATTTGCTCTGGATTTACATTGAGCTCTCTGGATTTTATCCTCCTTGGGTCTACCCATATGGATTACCTAGTTTTTCATAAGCTATATATATATATATATATATATATATATATATATATGAACCCCCCTGTATTAATGTTAATTCTAACTACTCCAATCCCATTGTGAAACAGATGCACTAGGATTACTTAATTATTATCCAACACAAACATCTTTAATAAAAATAAAGAATTGTATGAAAACGCTCTCCACGAAAGTGGTTTTAAAAATAAATTATCTTATCTTACCGCCATGAGTAACACTGAAATATCTAAAGTGAAATGTAGACACAGAAAAAGAAAAATTATATGGTTCAACCCCACTTTCTGCAAACTATCTAATATCAATATCGGCAGTATTTTCTAAAGTTAATAAATAAACACTTTTAAAAACAACCCTCTAAGTAAGATCTTCAATAGGAAAACGATTCAAATTAGCTACTCCTGTACCAATAACATGTATAAAATTATCAACTCACATAATAACTATATTTTAAGTAATTTCTGTGGAATAAACA